CATCCTTACAAAAAATTAGACAAATTGGAAACCATTTCAACATCCAATTGTATCCTACAAAATCAACGAATACCATACTTCAAGAAAGTACTATAATTTTAATAACACAATTGAGTGGTCAAACGATATCGTATTCAAGTGATTTTTTGTAAAGATGATCTTTGAATGATTATCTAAAACATAGACGTTTGGATGAGTGAAATACAATGCAGAGTGGACCCTACAAGAGTGTCCCTCAAATAAGCTAATTTGAAGGATCCCTCAATAGAAGCTCTTTGTATGTTTATATACATATATATACATATGCGTCGAAATGCGCAGCTACCAAGCTGTGAATTTGGAGGAATAAGTATGTGAGGAGTGTACAAGCAGTGGGGTTAGGAGCAAGCGTTTGCGCTTAGAGTTTTTTTTTTTTAATTGGACGAAAGGATGCTTGAAGTTAAGTTCAAGCAGATTTTTAATTACACTTTTTTTGCCAAAAAAAAAAATTAATACCTTATTAATATTTTAATTTATATGGGGGGTTTTACCCCTCAATTTAACAACAAAATTGACGAACTTTGACTATAGGACAAATTTGATAGTAAATAGAGAGTTCAAGTACCATTGAAATGAAATTTTAATTGGTGGACCAAAATAATACTGGGGCAAAATTTGAGGGACTATTTCAGTCATTATGTAACGACCCGGTCCTAAATAAATTTGTTAATTATTAATTTATTCAGATAAAAGACTATTTTGCCCATAGAATATTTTATTAGGTTTAAAGTTGACTTTTTGACTGGGAAGGAATTTGGGAATTTAGACTGTATCGTTGCATAGAGCACGACGAGATGAGTCTGTAGACACGAAGTGGGCTTGAATCGGAGTTGTAATGAAAAAGATACGATCAAAATGCCGTCAGTGACATTTACCGTAATTTTTGCGAAAAGGGTTGGATAAAAATGAGAAAAACCCCATTTCTCTCTCTCTCTCTCTCCGCTGTCGCGAAACAGTCCCCCCCCACCCCCTTTTGGCTTGCGACGATAGCAACTTCCCACATTGCCACCGCCACCACACCCCTCCACTTGGGGCGGCACCGGAATCGCCTCACTTCCCTCTTCGATTACCGACCGGTCCCAGCCTTGATCCGCAGTCGTGGTCGCCGGAAATAGCCCCGAAACAGATCGAATTTTTAACAATTTTTGCCGGCTTCGTTCTCGTCATTCGGCCACAGTTTCCGACGAGTGAGGTATGCTTTCTCACTTATTTTTCATGATCTAATTGATGGTTGGGTAGGATTTCAGAAATTTTAAGTGTTGATAGATCAATTTTCGAATTTAAGTTTGGCCGAATTTTAGGATGAAATTCCGGCCACTTCCGGTCACTTTTTAGGGTTTGTCCAAGAACAAAAGTGACTCG